AGAGAAGAAAAAGGTTAAAAAGGGAAAAAGAGGTTGATGTTGTTGTTGTTGTTGTTGTTGCGTTTGGACTGATAGAGAAAATGTAACAAATTCCCTTAGGGAAGATTTTAACAAGGCAAGACCATGTAGAAAAAGGTTTCCTGTGTAATCTCAACTAAAATCCAAATTCTCAAGTTTAAGAGAAAACCTTTTTTTCAAAAAAAAAAATTTTTTCGGAGGCATTTTGCGTGTATTAAGAGAAAGGAGGGGGAGAAAGAGGAGAGGAAGGAGAAAAGAGTGGATGATACGTGAGTTTATGCGTGTGTCTTGTTTTTGGGATAATAGTTTATCTGCTTCCCCGACCGTTTCCTTTTCACTCTCCTTCCCTCTCTCTCTCCCCTCTCTCTCTCTCTTTCTTATTTATTTTCCAACAGATTTTTATTTAGGGTTTTTTTTTTGTTGAAAAGGTTTGTAAAAAAAATATATATATACAGGAAGAAGATTGATGGGGAGTCAAGAAAAAAAAAAAAAACCTTCAAGCGTTTTGTCTATTCTACCTTTTTTTTGTATCAAATTTTGAAATTTTATTTTTAAATCCCCCCCCGAAAAAATAAAATAATAATAATAAAAACTGATTTCACGACAATTTTTTTTTTGTCTCTCCCCTCAAAAAGAAAACGTGAAAAACAATCGAAAAATTTTTTTTATTATTATTTTCACTTATGATAACATAAATAAATAATTTGCCACGTTTTTTTATTTTTTAAAAACGTCATCAAAAAGCAGAAGACAAAAAAAAAAAAACTTTTATTCGATCGTGAGCTTTTCATAAAAAAAAAAAAAATTTCCTCTGTTCTCCCCTTCTCCCACCCCCTTCCACCACACAAAACCGTTCGAAATGGTAATAATATCGTTTCTTCATAAACGTTCGTATGAATAAATTTTTACGAATAATATCGTGGCAGAAGAATATCGTGATTGTGTCATCAAACATTCCATTTAAAAGAGTCACGATTGTGGTGGCAACACATAAATAAATTCTACAACAATAACAATAATAACCTTCTAACACGTTAACCATTTACCCCCACAACCACCCCCTCACGTTACCGTTTTCAACCCCCCTCCCTCTTCACCTCCTTCACATTCTTATCTTATCAGCAAAAAAGAAAGAGAGAGAAAAAAAAAGTAAATAAAATGAAAACAATTTCCGGTTGTAACATTTTTTTTTTCCAGAAAAATGCAAATATTCGAATAAAAACTAATTTCAAAAAAAAAAAAGCAGAGAGTACGTCATCAAATTTACATTAATATTTATTATTATTATTATCATCATCATCATTATTATTACTTTTTTTAACGGTAATAAAAAAAAAAGAGAAAAATGATTGATTAACTTTTCGTTTTAATCAAAATCGAAGGGTTACATTAATAATAATATTTTTTTTCTTTTTCTATTTACTTCCTCTTCCTACTTTGAGTGTTTCTTCTTCTACGACACTTTTTACTACTCTATATGGAAATTAAAAAAAGAAAGAAAAGAAAAAGAAAAAGATTTCAATCGAATGTAAATAATAATATTATTTATTGAGGGTCATAAATAAAATTTTTTCTGGCAAGTTTTGGGCAGTTTTCCTTTTTTTTTTTTGATATCGTCTGGAAAATTTTCTTTTTTTATCCTTTTTCCGCTTCCGCACTCCAACGTCTTTCACCTACGTTTCCTAGATGTAACCGGGGAAAAAAGAGAGAGAGAAAGAGTAGAGAGACCATTGAAAGTTTTTAATATGGAAAAAAGTTTTTTTTTTTTTTTCAATTTTCAATTATATTTTATTTCTTGTGTTTGTGATGTGGGCAATTTATGTCCGCCATTTTTTTTTCTTTTTTTTTTTCTTTTCAAATTTACCAGAAAAAATTATTATGTCCGAAGGGGTGAAAATAGAAAAATTTCTTTTTATTATTATTATTATTTATTTATTTATTTTTGACTTTTTCGTTAGGATATTGAAATTTTATTAAAAATAATATTTTTTGCGGGAAATTTCTCAAAAAAAAATCCTCTCACCTTTTCATCTTTTCTTCCCTCCTTCCCCTTCCCCTATATCAGTTTTTCTTTTTTCTTTTTCGTGTGAGGAGGGGTGGGTTTTGACGTTTAAACTTTTCGATATTGTTTGCCGTTCGGGTCGATTTTAACCTTTTGACCTTTGAAACTTTTTAAAAAAATTCTGTAAATTTTTTTTTTTTTTTGGTTTTTACGAATTAATCGAAAAATTGCGACTGTGCGATTCGATGGATCGATGGGGAGTCGATGTATGCAGACAAAAGGTAGTGGCAGAAGAAAAAAAAAATTAAATTAATTTTGACACAAATATAAAGTTTTCATTGTGTGTGTGTGTGTGTTTTTGTATTTGTGGGGGGAGCATCCTTATCTTTAAAAGCGTAAATGTTGTTAAATCTTATGATGAACGGGGAGGAATAAAAAAAAAAAACCTTGAATATTTTACAAAAACGTGCGCGCGCACGTGCACACACACTCACTCAAGAATTGCGAAATTTAACAGAAAAAAAAAAAAATTTTTTTTCATTTAAAATCGTGGAAACGATCGGTCACGTTTTTTTTAATTTTAAATTAAAAAAAAAAAAAAATACGCGTGCTTGCTTGTTCTTACGCAGTTACACCACTGTAAATATTCAACCCTCCCCCTTCTACCCCCTTTCCTATCCCTTCCCTTCCCTTCTTCCTGATGTACACGTGTAACACATGTTCGAATTTACAGACACACGAAAAAAAAAAAAAATGGTTAATAAGCACGACGACCACGAAAAAGAAACTCGATATATATATGTATATTGAAATTGACCTTTTTAATTAATGGGGAGTTGTTCTTGAAGGTTTAAAATCCTTTGGCAAAAAAAGGGTGAACTGAAGGATATATACCAATCCAGAGGGAGGGGGAAGGCGGGGGTTCAAAATCTCAAATTTGTGACCCAAACAATAAACCACAGAGAAATTGAAACCACCATAGAATAAAAAAAAAAAAAAATTGTTGTCAAGTTTTCTAGAAAAAAAAAAAAAAATTGTTGTCAAGTTTTCTAGAAAAAAAAAAAAAAATCATTCGTGTATATAAATATTTATATAATGACTTTGGTAACTTATATAATTATTACGTGTAAAACGATCTTCTTATATTTAAAAAAAATTCAAGATTTTTTTTTCTTTTTTTTTTCTTTTTACCTTCCTCGAAGCGCCATTCTTTTATTATTAGTATTATTATTATTATTATTCATCCCCGTTTTTAATTTAATCCTCATTTTTTTTGTCTTTTCTTTTTCGTCGGCTGCAAATGATAAACATTTAAGATTTTTTTTTTTTAATTATAAAAAGTAAAAAAAAAGAAGGAAAAAAAGTATATATATATATGTAAAAATTATGCTAAAATTTTATTCTAGAAAAAAAAATGTTTTCTGAGTCCTTATAAAAAACTAAAATAATAATAATAAAAATGGAGGGGATGAAATAAGTCACTTTTTTTTTTACCCTTTGACGATGAAAAAGGAAAAAAAAAGTTAAAAAAAAAAGGATTTTGCGGGGGAAAAAAAAATATTATTAAATAAATCCTTTCTTATTAAGGGTCGTCGTAAAATAATAATAATAATAATAATATAAATAAATAAAGTTAAAATCGTTGACTTTTTTTTCCTAGAAAATTCTTTTTTTTTTCCTTTTTTTTCTTTTTTTTCTTTCTTTGTTCGAAAAATGAAATTTATGTTTTTATTTGCTCTCTCGTAATTCATTACGTTAAAACTATCGATAAATAATAATAATAATAATAATAATAATAATAATAATAATAATAATAATTTTATTTAATATTATTATTTATTTTTTTTGTTATTTTCGTCACAAAACAATAATTTTATTTAATAAAACACGATTGCCAACTTTTAAATAAAAAAGAAAAAAGGAAATAATTAATCAAAACGTGGCGCGTGATCGTAAATGAAAAATTTTTTTTTTTTATTTGACTCGTCGTAAATTTTATCAAAAATGACAAAATTTTATACCATTTAATTAATACCATTTTCAACCTCTTCCCTCCGACCCCTCACTTCCCCCAACCAACCCTCCCTTCCTCCATCATCTTAAACCCTTTTTATCTTCGCCAAGTATAAAATCTTCGTTATTATAAATAAAAAATAATAATAATAATAATAATAAATTACAAATAATGTGATTGTGATTAAATGACCCCTAAAATTATAAAAAGAAAATTTCCTTTTACACTTTTATAGTTAACGTATAAAGGAAAAATAAAAAAAAGGAAAAAAGGAAAGGAAAAAAAAATATAAGAGAGACGTAATTAAGAGTGCGGAAAACAAAAAAAATTTGTGCTGTGTGTGTGACGTCACAATCAAAAAAATTTTCACGGTCGAATGAATTTTCTTCCTCTCTCTCTCACTCTCTCTCTTTATTTCTTATTTTAAGAATGACCAAAATCGAAAAGTAAAAAAAAATCTTTTATGTAATGTTATAAATAAAAGTAGAAATTTCATTCGACGTCTTCTGCTACAAAAAAAAAAAAATTATTAGTTTTTATATGAATGTCTATATAAAAGTAGAAGAATCGACTTTCTTTCTCCTCCTTTCTTTTCAAATTTATTTCATTTTCTTCATCTCTTTTATCTCTTTCTCTCTCTCTCGCACATTCATCGTAACAATAAATTTTTTTCGTTTGTTGGTTGGTTGTCGTTGTTCATTACAAAACGTGAAAAAATTTTTCTTTTTTTTGTGGTAGTGATAGAAAAGGAAAAATATAAAAATTTACGATACGATTGACTTGATGATGTTTGCCCGAAGAAAAATAATGAGAAATAAATAAATAAATAATATGCGTTCCAGTACGCTGGATAAAAATATCCAAATGTTATCTCACATGATTGAAAATCATTTTTTACTGGAGAAAAAAAAAAGGAAAAAAAAGGAAAACTCGCTGGAAAAAGTCGGTAATAACCTTAATTGAAGATTACGCCTCGAGTCTGGCTTCTTCTTCGCACCCCAAGGGAACGTAAAGGCTAACAAACAACCAGACAGCCGACAACCCTTTTTTTTTATCCTTACCACCGTATACCACTTACAAATTAACATTCGAAAGGAAACAAAAAAAAAAAACTCTTCAAGACAACAACAACAAAACATAAAATCAATCATAATAAAACATTAAAAAGTAACAACAAATTAACGAGTAAATTTTTTTTTTTCTTCTTTTCTTTTTTCTCCAGTTTTTTTTTTTTTTTAATTATTGTTATAAAAAAGAATAAGTTGGGGGAAAGGGGGGAAAGGGGAGATAGAGAGGAGGGAAAAAAAAGAAATTCGATTTGTTGAATTATTAATTTGTTTTAAAAGGTAGAGTAAAAAAAAAAAAAAAATGAGGGAAAAAATTGTAAAGATAGGATTATGAATGATGAATAAGAGGCTTGAAAGGTTGCAGAAAGAGAGAGAAAGAGAGAAAGAGATAAAGAAAGAGAGAGAGAGAGAGAGGAAAAATTTCAAAAGGTTTTCTCACTACAGGTGAATAAAAAAAAAAGAAAAAAAAAGTTAGATGATGGACTTAATTTTAATTAATTAATTATCCGGTAAGATTTTTTTCCTTTTTTCCTTTTTTTTTATTGATTGTGGCATTTGGATTTTTTCCTGCCCCCTTTTTAATTTCCACCCCGCCCCCCGCCTCCCACTTTTTCTTCGTTAGTATTCCTAACTACGCACCTGACGACACTCGATTAATTATTAAGTTTTAATTTGTACACAAGATTAATAAATAAAATCGTCTCTTTACGGTGACAACGTATTTGTCATTTTTTTCTCCAGTTTTTTTCCAGCTTTTTGATTATATTAAAAAAAAAAAAAAGAAAACATCCTGGAGAAAATAAAAAAAATTAATTTTTAAACTCCGCAAAACGCAAAAAAAAAAAAAAATACGTGACGAAATCTTTACTCTCTCGTAATAAAAAAAAAAAAAAAATTTAATCCCGCATGATGTTTGTTGACACGTCAAACAAAAAAGAAAAAAAATTCGCGGTCGGAGTTTTAAGGAATAAAAAAAAAAAAAAAACCAAAATCAAAGGATAAAAGAAAAAAAAGGGAAAAAAAAAGGAATGAATGTAATAATGAACCCGAAGGACATTTTTTATTTTTATTTTTTAGCAATATATGCAAATTTAAAAACATTTAAATGCAAATTTAAATGCCACTGGAAACGTTTATTAATTTTCCACTAAAGAGAGAGAGAGAGAAAAAAAATAAAGAAAGATAGGGAGGGTGAGGGAGAGGGAGAGAGACCTCTAACACCTACTTGACCGGTAAAAAATTATACATAATAAAATATTTTGATTGATACTGTCACGAAGTTAAAAAAGGAGGGTAAAGAATGAAGAATTAAAAAAAAAAGAAGAAAAAAAAATTGATTACCGAAGAAGCTCTAGAAAAAGAAGAAAGGTAAAAGGTTAAAAAGAAGGTTAAAGGAGGAGGAAAAGGAAAGAGGTCAAACCTTTATTATTATTATTATTATTATTGATTGTTGTCCATTGAAAAGGTTAAAATAAAAACGATTATTCATTGCCTTTTTTTCTTTTCTTTTTCTCTTTTTCGTTTGCTCAAATTAAATGATGATGATAATAATAATAATAGGAAATTTTGATTGTGTTAACTGAAGTGAAGAGGGAAGGGGTGAGAGGTGAGGTGTAGAAAAAGGTCAAACTGGAAAAACCGGAAAGATGATGAAAACTTACTTAAAAATTTTGCACAAATAGTCACGTCGTGTTTGTTTTTTTGAATTTGAATTTGAAATTACGTCGAGTGGTTTTATACATTTAAAACAAACGGCTGTTTTTGGAAATTTGTTGTTTGTTTTTCTGTTTGTTTAAAAATTTTTTAAAATTTTTTCGGTTGTTTTTATATATAAAAAAAAAACTTGACTTTTATTATTATTATTAGTTTGGAATAAATTGAAACGTTGAATTGAAGTTGAAACGTCAAAATCGATTATATATAATAATTAAACGTCACTGAAACAAACAAATAAACGAACGAACAAACAGACAAAACTCCTGGAATTATTATTTAATTTTAATTCCTCCCTTACCGCCTTTCCCCCCCCCCCCCGGGAAACAAAAAATGTGTTTATCATTTGATTCTTTTTTTTTCTCTTTTAATTATCGATAATAATAATAATAGTAAATGTAAAACGTCTTTTTCGATATTGTTAATTAAAAAATCATTGAAGCAGAAGACGATTAAAAAAAAAAATTAATAATAATAATAATGATTTTTTTTTTAAACATTTCTTTGTTTAAATCGGTTGTAAAGCTCCAGCGAGTTTTATTTTTTTTTTCTAAAATTTTTCTTCCACGTCATTTTTTTTTCCAACAAACATTTTCCGATACAATATATTCGTTTGTTGTTAGAAAAAAAAAAACAACGAGACGACAAAAACAAAAAGAACAACAACAACAACAATAACAAACACGAAAACATTCGCAACAAAAACCCGGTTCATTTCATTTGACGGATTTTAACATTCGATAACAATAATAATAATAGTAAACATAATTTTCAAATTTGAGAGGGGAAAAAAAGTGTGAAAACATTTTTTTTTTTTTTTTTTTTGGAAATAATAATGATGATAATAATGATAATGATAATATTTGCGTTTTTTTTTTTTTTTGAAAAAGGCAATAAAAATTGAATTTTTTATTATAAAATTACATACATCGTTTGTCCATATTATTATTATTATTAGTTTTAAAACAAACAAGAGAAAATTTTTTTTTTTCTTCCAGATAAAAATCTAACAATAAAAAAAAAAAATTTTTTTTTTTGAATTGTAATAGTGGCAACACTAACAATAAAAAAAAAAATTTGTAACGTATATATAAGTAAACAATAGTTTTTTTTTTTTGACGTATTGATAAGATTTCGGGAGTATCGAATTTCATTTTTTTTTTACACTTAACTCGCAGTCATTCGCTGGAAATTTTGGAACTCCAGTTACATAATATATATATATATATATATATATATATATATGTATAATGTTTGCCGATGGTAATTTTTAAAAGCGAGAGAATAACCGGTAATAACCGGTTATTTGTCTCGTAAGTTGTTTAGATGGTAATCCGTATGTTAATTGTAATCACGGATGTTTAAAATTAACTATATTCATTGTTTTCGTTTTCTCATATTAAAAGGAAACAAACAAAAAAAAAAAAAAAATGGAGCGCGTGTTTGTTTGCTTTCGATATCGTCATATCGGAAGATGGTATACCACCACCAACGGATGGTATAAAATTAATGCCATTAAAATAATAACGTGCCATCTTTTGAATTAATTGTAAAAAAAAAAAATTAGATTTCTTTACGCCGAGAGAAACTTTTTTTTTTTAAATTTTACTCCCAAATCGTCAGTTGAATTTCTCTCCTCCCCCCGTTTTTTCCTTAAACTTAATTTTAATGACACGTCACACATTATTATTATTATTTTAAAATTCCCGCGTAGTAAAAAAAAAACCACGTGATGAGGATTGTTTTTTTTTTTTTTTAACTAATATACCGTTCGAACGTTTTTTTTAAAATCGATACTATCGATCAAAACAAAAAAAACGTTTGTTTTTATTTATTTTTTCTGCGTACACGTCTTTTTTTCATTTCACATCGTTTCTACATCCACGTTTTTTTTTTGAGAGAATTTTCCGCATAAATTTTTAGGGGATGATTTAAGGCATTAATTATGAGATTTTTTTTGTTTTCTCTTAACGTTCGGTTGAACGATTTCCCGCCTTTTTTTCATAATTATCATCATGATCATCATCATTATTATTATTATTATTATTATTTATGACTTTTTCGTACAATCGAGGGTGTCAATGAAAAAATTTACGGTTAAAACCGGAAATTTTTTTTTATTGTTGTTGTTCTTGTTGTTAGGTTACACCTGTTGAAACTCGATTTGTCCCTTCGAATCGAAAGGGATTTTTTAGTGGGGGCAGGGAGGAGGAAAAAGAGGGGGGTCAATCCGAAAATTAATTTTTACGTCATTAATAAAAAAAAATGATTAATCGATCGAAAATAAATAAAAAAAAAAAAAATTTGATTTTTCATATTATTAACAAGGCGGAAACTCAAAAGGGTAAAAAAAAAATCCGTTACGGGAAGTTTAATTATTTCTAACCGAAAAAAAAAAAAAAATTAAATTTTGCTACCGGATATTTTGCTTTTGTTAAAACGCGCGTACCCACGCTCACACGTACACGCACGCACGTACACGCACGCATGCGCGTATTATTGATATTCAATTTTCATTTTAATTTGATTTTATGCCACGTTATTTATTAATATTTTTTTTGATTAAAAAGCCGCTTCTTCTTCTCGTTATAATTATTAATAATGATAATAATAATAATAATAATAATAATAATAATAATAATAATAATAATAATAATAAATGGTTATTTAATAAACAATCTTTTTTTTTATTTATTTATTATCATTAATATTGTTAAGGAGGTACTACCACCTACCCGTCGCGAGTATTAATTTAAAATATTATTAATAAATATCGATGAACAAGTTGCGGGGAGGGAAGGAGGGGAGGAGAAGGTAAGGGAAAGAGAAGGAGGGAAATTACAAGTAATAATAATAATAATACGGTAAAAGAAGAAGTAAATAAATAAATAAATAAATTTTTTTTTTTGGTTTAAGGTAATAAAAATTGTCAAAACCAAGTGTAATAACAACAAATTTTCTTTTTTTTTTTTTCGTTTTGAAAATATATTCTAATGCCACGTTTTTTTTTTTTTTTAACGGGAGCAGGGAGAAAAGAAAACTTGTTTTTTTTTTTTTTTTAAATATAAATTCTGCTATTTTTTTCCCGATTCCGAAGAATAAATAAATAAAAGAAAATAATTTTTATCGTAAAATTTCGTGGCAGCAAATAACGACAACAAACGACAACAAACGACGAATACATTAACGTTTTTTTTTTTTTTAAATTTATTTTTTCGTATTTTGTAATCATTAACAACGACAACAACAACAACAAAAAAATCGTTTAACTCGATTATTCGTGTTCGATGTCACGAATTATTTTTTTTTTTTTAAAAAAAAGTAATTTTAATAAATAGTGTCAATAGACAAAAAAAAGAAAAAAAAATTGAATTAAACACGTGTTTGTGTATTTTATTTTTTACGTAACGATCGTTAATAATAATAATTTTTTTTTTACTTATTAAAATATTATTAGTATTATTATTATAAAATTATTTATGAAAATGACGTCTCGGGTAATGTTCCCAACATGACAAAAAAAAAAAATCTCATCAAACCGTAAAAACCGAATATAATTATTTTGCATTATTATTATTATTATCAATAATAAATTTTTGACGTGTTACGAGACAAAACGACAACGACACAAATTTGATTTCCGATTCTTTTCTTTTTTTTTTAAATAAAAAAGGGAATGAGAAAAATTTACGGTTTTAAATTTAACCCGAAAGTAAAGGTGTAACAAACAAACAAACAAACAACACAAACAAAACAAACGTTTGTGTTTTTCTTTATTTCGTCGTATGGTTTGTCGTCGTAATAATATTTCGGTCGGTAGCGTTGTTGTCACTAACAAACAAAAAAAATTACAACGTCACAAAAAATTTTTTTTTTTTTTTTTAAATAAATGTTAATTACTTTTTTATTAGTTATTATTCTTCTGACACGTCGAATCGATGAAAATGATTAATATTATCATTACGGGTTTGTTTGCTTTTAAAATTTTTTCGTTGCACTTTTTTTTATTTAGTAAAGTTTCCGCTGGGAGTGAGTAAGCAAATTATTTAAATTACAATACGATCGATATAAAACATATATATAAAATAAGTTTTCGCTCGTTTGTTATGCTTATTTATTATTATTATTATTGTTGTTGGTGATGATAATAATGATGATGATGATGATAATGAATGATAAAATTCCGTTCGTTTTTATGTTATCGGTAACCGATTTATGATGGGATGACGCGTAGTAACGGATTCGTTTCATTTGGGGTTGAATTTTCTTTTCTTTTTTTTTGCATAAATTGATATTATTATAAATGTCGACAAATTTTTTTTTATTCTTTTCATTATCATTCGAGGATTGATTGATTGATTGATCGATCGATCGATATATCGATTTAATTTTAATAAATTAATTTTTTTGGAACAAAAAAAAAAACACTTACGGTTGATTTTATTTTTTTTTTATTAATTGCAAGAAAATTTTTTTGAATTTTTCCGAATAAAAACGAAAAGGAAAAAAAAAAATTTTTCAGTAGGTCATGATGATGACGTTTTGGAAAATTCCAGAAATTCCAGAAAACTTTTTTTTTTTTTTTCTATTACATTCGTGCCAAATTTTAATTTTTCACTTTAAAAAAAAAAATTAATATTTAACTTGTGACACTTGAAATGGCCATTTTAACCTGCCGTGATCGTAAAAGTAATAATAATAATTGGGTTACTGTTCATTTTTTAATCGAAATACCGCCCAAAGTAAAATTCTATGCGATAATAATAATAATATTAATAATAATAATAATAGTAATAATTAACGCCACGATATAAATAGATATTCAATATATTTATAAATTTTTCGTTCCGCGTGAGTTTGCGCGTGCGTGTGCGATCCTGATTTTTACTTTTTTTTTACTAATATCATCATCATCATTATCATTATTATTATTATTTGGTTATTTAAGATAAAAACGTGAGGAGTTAAAAAAAAAAAAATTTATGTTTTTTATTTTAGTGAAAACGTGACCGAGCATACATATGTAGAGCAATATAAGAAAAAGAGAAGAAGAAAAAGCAGATGATCTCGCGTGCGTGTGTGCGTGTGTGTGTGTGTTAGCAAAAATTTTTTTATGCATTCCACTTACGTCATTTTAATGCATCGGAAATATTAATAATAATAATAATAATAATAATAGCTTTTTTTTAAAATTATGTATATATTTATCAGATTTAAACAAAAAAAAAAAAGATGATGATGAAATTAAAATCGCTGGGAAATTCTATTGTTATTGTTTATATATATATATTTTACTTTTTTTTTTTTATTCTAGAAAAAAAATTATAATAATAAATAATTATTTTGTTACAACAATGAGTCATCATCGTAATAACGGTTACCAAGTGTGACGAACCGACAAAAACAACAAAACACACTCAAAAAAATTATTTTATTTCCGTTTCCAGTCAAAAAAAAAAAAATGGCTCCGGCACTCACACAAACAAAAAAAAAATAATAATAATGATGTCTTTCATACGTGATTAATTACATTTATTATTATTACTATTATTATTATTATTATTATTATTATTATTATTAAAATTATTAAAAAATAATTTAAAAAAAGATTTTCTTATAATTTAATTTGAGTTAATGTGGCGTGTGCTCCGCTTGATTATTATGTTTTTTAAAAAAAAAATTTTCTTTCTTTTTTTTTTTTGATCGTTTAATAATTTAAATTATTTTTAAATTGATGTTTTCTTTTTCTTTTTTTTATAAAGTTGGTACTCTTTGCCATCGTTGACCTTCCCGCCAAAACAAAAAGAAAAAAAAATTTATATTTACGAACATATTTTTTTTTAAAAAGAATTTTTTTTTTATTTTAAAATGACTTGCATTAATTATTAAAAATCAAATTGAGATAAAGTTTTTTTATAAAAAAAAAAAAAGAAAAGTCAAAAAGTCATTGAAAATCGATTGACACGTTCGTTAATCAAAACTTAACCATCATCATCATCATAATCATTATCATCATCATCATCGTCGTCGTGATAATAATCATTTATGCGTGTATTTCAACAACAAACGTCTTCGTATTCCATTCGTCGGAATGTTTTCTCCAGGAAAGACTTTTTCGCCCTTCCTGGAAAATAAATTAAAATTTACTCGCGTGTACTCATTTTTAAATTTATTTTTACCGCTATAAACATCATTTTTTTTGTGTTTGTTTGTTACGAAAACATGGCAGACTCTTTAAAAAAAAACAACAGAGTCTATAAATTTAATTAAATAAATTTTAACGCCGCGTATTATTAATTTTTAATCTACAAAAAAAAAAAAAGATCCCGAATAAAATGACGACGACAAAAAAAGAAGAGAAATGATAAAGAAATTATTGCGTGAGTTCGTGCGTGTAAGTGTGCGTGTGTGTGTGTGTACAGAAGCAGATGATTTCTTAATTTCAATACAATTTCTCTTTCATTAAAAGCAGAAGACGTTAAAAAAAAAAAAAAAATCTTTAATATTTTTTTTTTTATTGAAGTGAATGACCGAAATAAAAACCAAAAAAAAAAAAATTTTTTTTTTTTTTAAGTGGAAAATAATTTTTATGGTTTTTTTTTAATAAACAGTAGTAGCAGTAGTAGTAGCAATTTTATAAACGGTAGCAGCAAAGTCATGAACAGAAGCAATTACTATTAATTTCTCTTCATCTTTTTTATTTTTATTTTTTTTTTGATGTGTCTCTGCGTGCGTGCGTGCGTCCGTGCGTGTGGCAATTAACGTCGCGTTAAAAAAAAAAAAATTCAAATCATTTTTAAACACCGGAAATCAAAAACGATAATCAGGGTACGGTAATTAAATTAATAAAATAATTTAATTTAAATATAAAAAAAACTTATCGAGATACAAAATCGTTTGTTGCGTATGCAGAACAAACAGAAACGACGAATTCGTTCTTACGCGGTGAAAAAACAAACGAATGAACGTTTAACGTAATTTAAAAAAAAATATATCAAACGTTAATTGATGATGATAATAATAATAATAAATAACGCGATTATCGGGGAATCAGATAGATTGACAAACGAACAACCTTCATTCCACCTCTCACTCAATTCGATCGGGAGCCCACCGCAACCGACAAACAATTTAAATATTTTTTTTTTTTTTTTTTTGCTTACGGTATAATTTTAACGTCAATCACAAATTTAAACCGTCAAATGATTAATTATACGAATTATATCAAACAAACGTACAAACGTTTATGTTTGTTCTTTCAAATTTTTTCATTATTTAATTTTGAATTTCGATTGTTGCCGTGGATAGGTCGCGACCGACACTTATCGTTTGTTTGTTCATAATTTTACAATCGTCGAATGACAGTTTTCAACCGTGTCAGAAGAAAAAAAGAAAAATGAAATTATTAAAAAAGCAAAATCAAAAAAAAAAGTTAGAGAAAACTTTTTGTTTATGCTGTATCACGTGATACAATTACCATCGATGATATGATTAGTCTATACCCTTAAAATAAAATTTTTTAAATTTACAAAAAAAAAAAAAAATGGCCACCCATTATTTCCCCTATTTAAGCACAATAAAGCTGAATCACGATTTAAAAAAAAAAAATGTTAAAAGAGAATTTCATTTTCATTTTCGGTGTTGGAGGGTGGGGAAAGGGGGAGGGAGGGTTGAAAATTTTCCTACCACCCTGACAACAACATCTCCTCAACCTTATGGACAATTTTGAAAATAGAAAATTTTGTTTTTTTTTTTTTTTTTTTTTTATTTAAATCATTAATCAATGTGGCAAACTAAGTTAATGCATACAAAAGCAGTAGAAAAAGAAGAAGAAGAAAATGTTTATTTCTGACATTTTTTTTACGTCGTCATCGTGGCACTAGAT